AGAACACGGGCAAACTTCGGTACCTCACTAGTTTTGAGCGGGACAGTTTGATGGGGTTCGGAGGAGGACATACTGAGCCCGCACTCAGTGCCTCAGCGGCTAAAAGTAGCCCTAAAGGGTACGAGGACGAGAGAATGAGTTTGGTCGGGGATGCCTTTCCAGCCAATACCTTCTGGCTATTTGCCGCTAGTGCTGCTGAGCGATGGGTCACTAGACGAAGTCCAAGACATTATCGACAAAGGCTAGGCATGTTTCCAGGAGAATTGTGTTGCTTTAGACAGGACCACACCCCTAGGAACTTTGACACCATTCGGGAGTTCGTCGGCGGAGATTGAGGGGTTGAGTGATGCAGCAGACCGGCTGGTGCGACACATGGCTCGGAAGGTGTCGCGTAATGGAAGCGATATCAGAGTATGTGTTGGGCAACCAACAAACCCTAAACTGTATCCTCGACAAAGTGTCCCGGCAAACTTCTGGGAATGGCAGATCACCCTGAAACGGAGATGGCAGTGCAAAGAGCACATCAATGCGCTAGAGCTCAGAGGAATATTACTTAGTATACAGTGGCGCCTAGAACATGTTCCCAGTTGCAACATGCGAGTCCTCCACTTGAGCGATTCAGCGGTGAGCATTTCTATACTAAGTACGGGTAGGACCTCTAGCAAAGCATTGGCCTATATCGCCCGGAAGATCAACTCACTTCAACTTCTTCATAATATGTATGTCCTTTCTGTCCACGTTGACAGCATGCAGAACCCCACTGACGCCGCCTCACGATGAAGCAGCGTGTGAGAAAGACGCAGACCAAAGAAGGGCGCCGTAAGAAGAGAGAAGGTTGCAGCCTGGCGCAGATAGGCCTTAAGGACAGCACTCTTCGGCGGTATCGGGAGGCCGTGCACAAGGCTTTTGAGGAATGGGATTTCTTGAGTGAGGACTATGAAAACCTCGTTTCGTTCGATCTCGCCCTTGGAGATCTTTTAGAGTATGCGTATGAGCAAGGTGAGTCGGTGTCATTCGCCGGAGATCTTCTGAGCGGAATCCAAACCTTCCTGCCATTCCTTAGGAAGCAGTTGAGCTACAGCTGGCATCTTTTTGGCTTGTGGCGAAAGAACGAAAGAAGCTGGCAAGCTACGCCGCTCAGCTGCGCGTTCCTATGGGCAATGGTCAGCCGCATGGCGGAACTTGGAAACGTACCGATGGCTTTCCCGTTAGCTGCAGGGTTCTTCGGCCTGTTCCGTACGGGTGAGCTAATGTTAATGAGCTTCGCCACGAAGACTAGCAATAGATTAGGACCTGGCGAGCATGTCGTCATTCGGGAACCGGGAGTTTTGCATTTGGCAGCTACCCTTCTGTCTCTTTCCCCTCGAAGAGGGTTGATTTGGCAGCGTTCCCACCAAGAGTTTCAATCCCAGTTTGAAAAGCTTGTTGCCTTTTTCGGCCTTGAAAGCCGCGGGTACCGCCCGTGTTCACTCCGAAGGGGTGGAGCCACCCATCTCTATCGGCAGCAAACACCCATGGAACTTATCCTCATGAAGGGTCGATGGCGCAATTCGAATTCGGCCCGATTGTACATCTCAGACGGTATGACAGTGCTGGCAAATTTGCACCGCAGCCGAAAGACCAAAAAGCTTTTTCGGTGGTATCGCAATTTTATTGGTTACTCCTCTTCGTCTTTAAAGACGAGCTGGTGAGCACCAGGGAGGCGTGGAATAGAGTTCTCTTTTTGAATCGAGCAACAAATCTTTTGAGCGTCACAGAAATCCTGCCACATGGATTTCTAAGTTTGGAGGTGAAAGAGTGATGCCTGACTCTGCCACATGAGTCAAAGAAGAATTTGCGCTAGTGGAGAGCACACAGAAGTTGCCGATTCGTGTTTGAACTGTGACGAATGTCATTTTCCATGCAACGTTCGCCAGCTGCTCACGTGTAAAAAGCAAGAAGCTGAGTTGAGAGAATGGTCGTTCGATAGGATCCGATAGGAACCCATTTTCTCGAAACCAGTCTTTGAAGGTTTTCGTGAATTCTCGTCATTTTGAACTCAAGAGGGCCCCCCACACCCGGCCCTATGGAATAGAGTTCTCTTTTTGAATCGAGCAACGAATCTTTTGAGCATCACAGAAATCCTGCCACATGGATTTCTAAGTTTGGAGGTGAAAGAGTGACGCCTGACTCTGCCACATGAGTCAAAGAAGAATTTGTGCTAGTGGAGAGCGCGCAGAAGTTGCCGATTCGTGTTTGAACTGTGACGAATGTCACTTTCCATGCAACGTTCACCAGCTGCTCACGTGTAAAAAGCAAGAAGCTGAGTTGAGAGAAAACAATAAGGGGCCCCATGTTTAGCAATAGGGAGTGGGGATTAGTGCAATGTAGTATTTGTAATGCGGTAAAGTGTGGTAAATTGTTAGACCAACTTTCCACATTTAGACTTCACCAGCTGTAGAAACACACCACTTGACCTCCAAATAATGAAGTCCACTTCGCCGGCAGAAACGTACCTTCACCGCTAGTATCTTCTTGTTACTAGTAGTATTGCCAGGAGCTACTAGTAGTGTCCTTGCTCCTAGTAGCGATGCCCTTTGTTACTAGTAGCTTCTTGTTACTAGAAGTAATGCCAGGAGCTACTAGTAGCGTCCTTGCTCCTAGTAGCGATGCCCTTTGTTACTAGTAGCTTCTTGTTACTAGAAGTAATGCCAGGAGCTACTAGTAGCGTCCTTGCTCCTAGTAGCCTAGTAGCGATGCCCTCTGCTACTAGTAGCTCCTTGTTACTAGTAGTATTGCCAGGAGCTACTAGTAGCGTCCTTGCTCCTAGTAGCGATGCACTTCTTTAATAGTAGCTTCTTGTTACTTGTAGTAATGCCAGGAGCTACTAGTAGCGTCCTTGTTACTAGTAGCTTCTTGTAACCAGTAGTAGTGCCAGGAGCTACTATAGTAGTGTCCTTGCTCGTAGTAGCGATGCCCTTTGCTATTAGTAGCTTCTTGTTGCTAGTAGTTTTGCCAGGAGCTACTAGTAGTGTCCTTGCTCCTAGTAGCAATGCCCTTTGTTACTAGTAGCTTCTTGTTACTAGTAGTAATGCCAGGAGCTACTAGTAGCGTCCTTGCTCCTAGTAGCGATGTCCTTTGTTAGTAGTAGCTTCTTCTTACTAGTAGTAATGCCAGGAGCTACTAGTAGCGTCCTTGCTCCTAGTAGCAAAGCACTTTGTTACTAGTAGCTTCTTGTTACTAGTAGGAATGCCAGGAGCTACTAGTAGCGTCCTTGCTCCTAGTAGCGATGCACTTCTGTACTAGTAGCTTCTTCTTACTAGTAGTAATCCCAGGGGCTACTAGTCCTTGCTCCTAGTAGCGATGCACTTCTTTAATAGTAGCTTCTTGTTACTAGTAGTAGCGGCAGGAGCTACTAGTAGCGTCCTTGCTCCTAGTAGCGATGCCCTTTGTTACTAGTAGCTGCTTGTTACTAGTAGTAATGCCAGGAGCTACTAGCCACGTCCTTGCTCCTAGTAGCGATGCTCTTTGTTATTAGTGGATTTTTGTTACTAGAAGTAATGCCAGGAGCTACTAGTAGTGTTCCAGCGATGCCTTTTGTTACTAGTAGCTTCTTGTTACTAGTAGCATTGCCAGGAGCTACTAGTAATTATAATCCTTGCTCCTAGTATCGACGCCCCTTTTTACTAGTAGCTTCTTGTTACTAGTAGTAATTCCAGGAGCTACTAGTAGCGTCCTTGCTCCTAGTAGCGATGCCCTTTGTTACTAGTA